ATTGATGCCATGTTGGAGATTACTCCCGAAATTATAACGTGACCTATCGACGACAGAGATAGAGCTTTAAACAATGCTCGTAAATTTTTAGAACTTGGTGGACCTAATGCCACAAAACTTTCTGGTTTACTAGGCGCAATTGATGGCAAGCTGGTTGTCATTCAAAAACCAGCAATTAACGGAAATGTATATGTCGATAGAAAGAGCCACGCATCTATGAACTTAATGGCCCTTACTCGGTTTATGTATGTAAAAACTGGGCATTCCGGTATGTTCGTATGGAAGGATAAAAAAATGATATAGCAGCTTACCGTTCGTTATTATATTAAGGAAGAAACAGTAATGCCCGAGTGTTTACTAGCAGTGTGATCTATCATAAACTTTTGTTTGATGCGGCCAGATGGTGTCCCGCAAAATCTTATATTTTGGGAGGTAAACTCATTATTCATACCATAGTGTACAAATTATTAATGATGTGACCTAGATTTGGCTTACCCTTTGCTGCCAAACCTCATTGTTCCATTTCATGCCCGACGTGAAAGCACTGCAAAAGAAATGATTTTTAATGAAAACTTTTCTAGTTCTCGCATATATATAGAACTTGCATTTGGTGGACTCACATCCCGGTGGAGATTCCTTTGGAAGCATTTGTATATGCTTAATGTTGATAGAATCGCCAAAACTATCATATCTTGCTGTGATTTACACAACATTTGTATAAATCAAAATGACATTGAAGAGGCAGTATTGGATGGAGGATTAGATTTCGAGGGATTTGTGGAGGCAGATCGCCGAAATGAAAAATCCAAAGACAAAAAAGAAAATAAGACAGAGTATTAACCAGATTGCAAAAAGGAACTGAACTTTATTAAACATAAAAATGTGGATTTCTTTTATACACAACGAACACAACTATTTACAGCAAACGGGAAGATGACTACCGTGGGTAGATTATATTGACATATTGTCTAAACTGTCAATATCCCGCAAGGTACATCAAGGATAATAAAATAACAGTCCGTAACTGAAGTAAATATATTAGTGTTACGTGAATTATGAAATATCATCTGACATATGCCAAAAGGTGAAAGATGATAAATTACTTCAATCGTCGGAGTGCAAGTATGTTACCGCAAATGTGGTGCATATACTGCTCGAATACAACACGAAACCAGTATGAAAACGAGGTGAATTTTGAACCCCCTCTTTCTTTTGATGGTACCAGCGCTACCATCGACGCAGCCCGGATGCGCTGACTTAAGGCAATGTCTATTTTAAAAAGAAACAATATCATGAGGGGAACAGATAGACTTACATAGTTTTCAAAAGGTTTTAATGAATTAAAAATTTTATTTTATTTAGGGCCCTCGCAAGCACATCAAACTATTTTTTTAAAGATCCCGATTAAGGACATTAATTTTTTTTTTTTTTTGTGAAAGGTTACTTCAGACTTCCAAAAGAAATCTTTTTCTGAAATCCATGACGTTGCTTTTTAAATGACCCAATTTGAATGATTAATAATAAAGTTTTTGCAGATTACTAAAATATCTGTTCCTTTATTTTTTAAAGACAAAATTTCAGTTTAACCGATTTTTTTATTATTTCAAAAGATAAAAATTACAGTTTAAGAATGATGACCCCACAACAAATTGCGTTTATCGTGTCTCAGTTGCAGCTCCTTATAGTTCGAATCAACGAAGAATCTGAATCTCTCGAAGAAGATAGAATGGAAATTCTTAATTCTACTGGACAACGCCTCGTAGAAAATATGACGACTCTTCATTCCAGTAGAGAACTTTACCAAGCAGAACGTCTCCAATATGATTTTATTGCCAGCAACTACCGCAATCAATATGGAGTTTCTATTAACAATCTCCCCATTTTCATGATGGGCGAACATGTAGAAAGAACAAGAACAGTAATTAGTGCTGATGGTAGACGTGAATCGCGTCGATACCACTTTTGGAGATTGGAACACCCATTCCTCAATGACAATGACGAAAACCAGGTCAGTAGCTATCGCGCCAACTACCGTATGGGTAAGCGTGCTTTTGAGCATTTGGTGAACGAGCTTTCGGCACACGAAGAATTCAATCTTGTTGCTCCCAATACTATTCCGATTTATATCCAAGTCGCAACGGCTTTATTTCGGTTGGCTAATTGCCATATCGGATATCGTCAAGCGTATATGCTTTTGGGTGTTTCATCAGGTAGTTATAACAACTTCACCACAAGAACACTCAAAGCAATTAAGGATCAACTTGGTCATTTATTGACATGGCCATCAGACCCTATCAGAGCCAATGCGATCGCTGTCGGTTTTGGGAGTAGCACTGGGGATAGATTGAATGGTGTGATTGGTGCTGTGGATGGTAAGAACTTTATCATTCACCAACCTTCCCCTCCAACCGTTGGTGCTGTGTTCAGGGATAGAAAGAACAACTATTCCGTGAAGCTTACTGCCGTATGTGATTCTGCATTACGATTCACGTATATCAAAGTGGGTGACTCAGGTATTGTAGTAAAATGATCTACGATGAAACAATATAAAAGCTAACACAACAATATTTACTTCAGGAAGAACGCATGATGCTGCTGCTTTCCGGTCAAGTGATATAGCGAGTGAAATTCTTCGCCACCCAGACATTCACTTTCCTGACAACACGTTCATGATCGGTGACTCTGCCTATCCTTTGGGACCCAACTTGATCACACCATTTCCTGAGAGTCAATGCGTGTTGGACAGTCGCAAGCGTACATTCAATCGTGTACATTCATCTACAAGAATGGCGATCGAAAGAGCCTTTGGTGTGTTGGTGGCTCGTTGGAGATTTACTGGCAAGTACATTTACATGTTGGACCCGTTGAAGATCAACGAGGTGATTACCGGATGTTGTATTTTACACAATATGTGTATCGACCTTGGTGATACCGGGTTTACCGACACTGTTCACCTTCAAGATCATAGTGCAGCTGTTCCTGAAGATGAAGACGCACCTGATGTAGGCGGTAGTAGCAGAAGGATTACCATTTTTGAGGAATTGATGAGACGTAGAAGTAGACGTGGGGCGGCTAGAGGGGGTAGAAGAGCAACTAGAAGTAGAAGTAGAAGAAGAACTAGACTTAGAAATAGAAATAGATAAGTATAGAAAACTTTTTGTTTTATTCAATTTTATTTAAATGATATTATCTGTAGAAGGATTGGGAGAAGGGGGATTGTTGTTGCTGGTGGTAGTGGTAGGGGTGGGAGCACGAGTGGCATTGTTGCTTTGAGCAATTGAAGCAGCAAACAAATCTACCATTCGGGACATGGAAAAAGTAGCCTCTCTTAACAACTCAGTATTTTGTCGTCTGTAATCGTTGTTATGATCCAGTTGATTTCGTCGGTATGTATCTTCTTCAGCCATACGAACAATATCTGCCTCTCGTTCAGCAGCCATACGTGCACGATCGGTATTCCTTTCTTCGATCATACGAGCACGATCAGCTGCTCTCTCAGCCCGGCTTTGAGCTTCCATTTGCTCCATATGGTTTGCCATAAACCACATTGACACACTTACATTACGTGGACGTCTTGCATTTACCTGAGGAACGACATCCTCATCCTCATCCTCATCCTCTTCATTATCATTATCGACTTCTGAATGACCACGTCTTCTGGTGGCATAATCACCACGGTTGTCCACAGTTTCTCTGGAATGGGAGCTGTATGTAACAGGCGGGTTTGTAGTTGGCATTTGTATTGTTGCCTGCTCCATCAAATCATGAAACTCCCAGTGTTGAAGAGGTGCACTACCAGTAGAATTAGCATCGTCTCGTCTGCTTCGATACTTAGCATGAAGAGCATGCCATTTAGTGGTCATGGCACAGATGTCTCTTCGGCCATTGACGGCTGCGTTGTCATTGAAGGCTTTTTCTGTCTTTTGGATTAAAGCTGCCTTTGCCTCATTTGAGCTAGTCACACCCGCTTCAACAAGATACGCAGGAAAAATTTCAATCAATACATGTGTGCTTGGTGAATCCCAGTTAAGGTTGGTGTTAGGCTCTGGTACGGAATCGGCAGCAGAAACTGGCTCAGCAGCAGGAGGAGGAGCTTGCTCGGTAGCAGGAACAGGACCAGCAGAAGGAACAGGACCAGCAGAAGGAACAGGACCAGCAGAAGGAACAGGACCAGCAGAAGGAACATGTTCGGAAGATGGTGCAGGTACAGAAGAAGGGGTAGGTACAGGTTGAGAGGATGGAACAGGTACGTCAGTGGGAATCTGTGCAGCAGACGGAGGGTTTACTCTGGGTCGGCCTCTTACCACAGGAGGGTTTGGGCGTTGGCCATTGATGAAGTCAGCACTTGAATAATTTTGGAAACTCATATCTGCAAAATAAAATGGAGATGGTAAAAAAAAAAGTAAATCGATAAAAATAAAAGGCTCTTATTGAAAAATAAAACAACATTCGTGATTTCAGTAATCGGATTTGGACATTAAATAATCTGATAGAAGGTTTTTGGGGCCTGCAGATTTTAATTCTTCGTTTGGACAATTCGGATTTTTTAGCACTGAAAATATTCAATGTTGTTATTAATCGTCCATATATATTATTAAAATTTTAAAAGATTCTATTTGGAAAAACTGTAACCTTTCACAAAAAAAAAAAAAAAAAAAAAAAAAAATTAATGTCCTTAATCGGGATCTTTAAAAAATAGTTTGATGTGCTTGCGAGGGCCCTTAATTAATTATTATTGTCAGTAGAAGATGAACCATTAAGATTGGTATCACTATCACCTCTTAGAATGGCTGCGAATCTATTCAGAATAGTCTCCATATCAGACATACGTCTACGCCAAGCTCTTCCATGTCAGCCTCTCGTCTACTTCTTACTTCTTCGAACATACGGTATCTCTCTCTGGTATCTTGTCGCTGTCTTGCTTGCATATCTTCCAATGCAATTTGTCGAGTACGACTGATACGTTGCAGCATGTTATCAACATCGAGAAGTCTTTGTTCTCAATCTTCCCTTTGCGATGCTGCCATGCCATCCATCATCTCTACACCAAGTTGGCGGGCACATGCCATATGCACGTCTAACAACTGACGAGCAGCTTCAATAGGATCAGGAGTTGATGAAGACTGCTCACCAGAAGTTCGACTATTTCTCGATGTACGGGCAGATCTTGGTGGAGGTGGTGCAGATGAAGGTGGAGGTGGAGGTGGTGCGGATGTATATGGAAGTGGAGGTGGTGCGGATGTATATGGAGGTGGAGGTGGTGCGAATGTATATGGAGGTAGAGGTGGTGCGGATGTATATGGAGGTGGAGGTGCGAATGAAGGTGGTGGAGGAGGTGTTGTGCTTGTCGATGTTGGTGGTGCTGCGGATACTGATGTGGTTCTGGGTGCTGGTGTTGGTGTTGGTGGAGGTGCTGTTGTTGGTGGTGGAGGTGCGGATGCTGATTCATTAAATGATGGCACTGCAGGTCCTTCATTGTTGGTAGAATATCTGACAGGATATCGATCAGCAAATGCTTTTTGAATTACAAGTTGATCAACGTCTGTAGGTCCCAAGTAAGTTGTTTCGGGGCCTTCGGATCGAATAGCATTCATCAAATTGTCGTCGTTAAATTGTCTGTAAGACCGAATACGACTCTCTTCCATGTTAATGCTTTCGTAGATCACTTCAGGCTGGATGCTTAGATCATCCTGAATAATCTTAGCAATTTCTTCGTAATAAGGCATGTTTGGAACACTTCCACCAACTCAGGTTTCTCTTGCTTCATTTCTTACTCTGATAAAACGCTGCTTCATATCTGCCCACTTTCTTTGCATACTTGTTTCGCTGATGTTTGCCAAAAAAGCCCTGAGTATATCGGTGCTAGCATTCTCAGCTAACTTTTCCTTCATCAAAGCAGCCGAATATACCCAGATAAGCTGCTTTAATGCAGTATCGCTTCTTCTCAGCAGGTAGCTGTAGGTACCAGCCATAATTTCAAGGAGGATACAAATAGCAACATCAGGCCATACATTGTAGGACCGTGAAGTTGGTTTTTCAGGCTCATCGTCATCATCAACATTGGCGTTACTGTCAGCTTCGGTGTTACCGTTGTTAACAGGAGTGGTGTTTTGCTGAACGGTAGGATCCACAACGAACACAAAGGTGCCAGCGCGTCTGCCACGTCCACGTCTGCCTCCGCGTCCATTTTCACGACCGCGTCCAGGACCACGTACGTGGTTGGGGGCGTTGTTATTAGCTTCGGTATTGTTCATAGTAAGGTAAGTGATAAAATGTATTTGACAAATTAAAAGAAAAGAAAAATAAAAATAAAAAACCACTGGATTTAAAGACGTTTGTTATTTTATCATTTCCTTTTCTAGTAAACAGTTTTGAAAACAAGATCACTTTGATCATGTTTTTATTTGATTCCTTATATATATATGTATTATTTTGCCCAAATTTAGCTTTACATTTCAAACACTTTTTTCACTACTTTTGTATAAAAAATGGGCTTTTTATTTTCGGTTTCCGATCCTGAGAGCACCTTCTATCCCTTTTATCATCCCATTTAAAAAAAATAAGTTTCCAAAATTACACCAGCGAGAACTTTGACAACGGTTTTAACGGCAACACCCAAAGGGGTCGACCCAGAGCCAACAGAACAGCACCTACCAGACCTGATGTACCTGTTATATCAAATGCTGCCCCGATACCTACTACAACCCCTGCTACCCCTACCACTGGTACCCCTATCACGGCTCCTACAGCTACCACAGGTCCTATTACCCATACTGCCTCTACTGCTTCCATTGCTCCTGTTGTGTTTTAAGGTAAGGTTAAATTATAAAAAGACTATAGAAGTAGTTTGAGACTGTTTATAAGATTGTCCTTTATTAATAAATGAAATATACGAGTATTTATATAAAAGACTGTCTGCTGTGTTCATATCTCTAGTGCTATCTTGAAGTTATCATTGATTAACCAAAAATGTATATGATTATTACATAGTCACTAATTTAGTCTTGTTCTAATAAATGTTAAGTCTTCTTAACTCTCTTTGCTTTAAACTAATTTTAAGTATTTCTCAGACGTACTAAATTAGACTTGTGATGTAATATCCTTATAGTTCTTACTATGACATTTATTGTTAAGCTTATATCACAAATGGTATCAGCATGGATAAACCTTTGTTAGCTCTAATATGGCTATAGCCTTGCTAGGTCACCACATTATCCCCACCCAGGTATTAACTAATACCGTTCAAGTACTTTTTTTTTTTTTTTTTTTTTTTTATTTGACATCAGCTTGGTCTTTGTTTACTTAAACAAATAGATACTACTTATCTCCTTAGAAATACTAATCTTTGATTCATGAATACTACTTATTCAGAATCAATATTTCTTCTTATTTTGACTAACTGATCTTGTCGTTCTTTTTCTCTTTGTACCTGAACTTGGTTGGTTCGCAACATTTATATCCTTCAATAATCTTTTATTGGCCTTATTAATTTCTTTGATGCTTTCTGGTACTTCACCAATTCTTTGCCAGTATTCTTTGATAAACTTTGGATCTGTAAAGTTTTCTTCTGGTTCCCAAGAATCATAAGATTCATCAAAGTCAAACCATTTGCATCTATACAAATACTTGTTATTGTCATCTTTCTTATGACCAATGATTGCTTCAACTTCAAGAAACTCATCTTGATGCTCTGAGATCTTATCAGAAACTTTCTTTAGTAAGGAAGGAGGATAATTTCTAGGTTCTAAGAAGCCTTTTTCATTCTTAAGAACATACGTATTAGCAGCAGTTTTTCTAACAACAGTATAAAATCCCTTGTACTTTGGATCTAATTTATTCTGTTTCTCTGTAATCAAAATCATCACTGTCGATCCAGGCTTCAGATCTAGCATTTTGTGACTTGTATCAAACTTTTGCTTTTGCTTTTCAGTGACTTGTTTTACGTTATCATACACTGCAGGGTAGACTATCTCAGTCATTCTTTTTATCTTTTCCTGTAACTCTTTACGTGTATTTTCAGCTGTTTCATAATCCTTCTCTTGACTAAAGTCAACAAAATCATTTGGATTCCTACCAAACATTAACGAAAATGGAGTACTCTTAGTTCTAGCGTTATACTTGCTATTCAAAAACAATTGAGCAGAAGGCACCTTTAAATCCCAGTCAGCAACGTTACCAACTATTTGCTTCTTAATGGTGTTTACTGCAGACTGTACAGCTCTTTCACTTGCACCATTAGCTCTAGGGTGATACTGAGAAATTAACGCGTGTTCAAAACCAACGTTCTCTTTTATGCACTTCATTAGAGAGTTCACGAACTCACGACCTCCATCACTTTGCAACTTACGCATTGGACCCCATGTACCAATTATGTCTAACACTTGTAACGCAACCGTGGCCATGCTCTTATCTGGTATGGCACGTAACACATAAAACTTACTTGCAATGTCGATCATAACTAACAAGTACTCATTACCTTTAGTTGACATTGTGAATGGACCAGCTAAGTCGATACCCCAACTATCCCCAGGAAGTGTGGCACTGACAGGTCGTAAAGGGTTGTATCCCTTTCTTGTAATGTTATGGCGCTGACATTGAATACATGACTGAATAAGCTCATTTGCTTGTTCCTTCAACTTGGTCCAATAGATACCTTTTCTCTTTAAGGCATGTACTATTGCTTCTATACCAAAATGACCTTTCAAATGTTCTTCGACTAACAACTTATTTCTCTCATTCTCTGTAGGAGGAGTAAAGTATTCACCACTCAGGATATCTGGCAGAGGTTCTTTAGTGACAGCACTATTTCTCATTATGGATTTAACCTCATTATCCCCACCCAGTTCATTTAACAATGGTTCAGTCTCCTCAGACAAACGCGACAACGCATCAGGCAAGACATTAGCAACACCAGGTAAATGAACGATCTTAAAGTCATACTGCAAAATTGTGTCCATCCATGCAATCATCATCAGATTTGCGACACGTTGGGTGTGCAGATACGTCAAAGCTTTATGATCCGTATATAAGGTAAAAGTGGATCCATAGACATACTTATGAAAACGCTTGAGTGCAAATACTAATGCTAGTAATTCTCTTTTTGTAGCGGAATATTTTCTTTCACTCTTGGATAAGCTCTTAGCTACAAAAGAAATATATTTGGTCTTACCAGCTATGACTTGATATAATACAGCTCCAATACCACTAAGAGATGCATCACAACTAATACAAAAACGAGAATTCATATCTGGATACGACAAAACCAGATCACTCAAAAGTGCTTTTTTCAAGTTATCAAATGCAGTTTGCTGTCTAGCGGTCCATAAATGTGTAATAGACTTTTCATTTCTTAATGAATCCAATGGCGACATGATGGATGATACATTTGGAATCAACGTTCTGAAGTAGTTGATCAAACCACAATAACTTTGGATATCTTTACCCGTTTTAGGTTGAGGAAATTCTAATACATTAACAAGCTTTCTACGGTCCATGGTAATCCCTTTTGGAGAAATGTGAAAACCAAGTAAATAAATCTCCTTTTGAAAGAAATGGCATTTCTTAGGATTTAATTTCAAATTGACCCTTGTTAATCTCTCAATAACTTGCTTCAAGTGTTCTTTATGTTCCTCAAACGTCTTACTAGCACAAACAATGTCATCCACAAAAAATCTTACAAAAGGTAAACCTTCCAAAGCTATACTCATAGTTCTTTGAAACTGTGAACTAACATGCTTGATACCAAATACTGTTCCGATAGGCTTATACTGTACACCACGCCATGTGAAACTGAGCTTATGTGCATCCTTTGGGTTCAAACGCAAAGAGTTGAATGCAGACTTCAAGTCAAGAGTTGAATAGATATTAGCACCTTTCAAATCTTCAAACAGTTCACCAATAAGAGGCAGAGGCATACGATCAATTGACTTCAATAGAGTATTCACTAATCTGGGATCATGGCATACACGATAACCAGTCACTTCACCTTTACCATTTGTCTTCTTGACTACAGTCAAAGGTGTATTCCATTCCGTGTTTGCAGGAGCTCTTTCAATGATACCATTCTCAATCCATTCTTTCACCTGTTCATCAACGACACCTTGCATCGAAATAGGAATAGGATAAGGACTTCTGAAGGCAGTAGCATTTTCCGGAGTATCCAAGCAAACAACACTTTCAGGTATGGTACAAAACGATCCTTTAGGAATAGCTTGATTGTTCTTAACATATCTTTGAATATAATCCATAGCTTCCTCAAACTCTTTGGGACCAACAGCGGGATTATTTTCCTTTAACTCATTTTCTCTTTCAATGGATTCAAGAAGATCACTCTTATTGTTAAAGCGCCTATCAGCTTCAAGTCTTTCTTCGGTTGAATCTTTATCATCATAGACTAAAGGTAAACCATAAATACCAATTCCAAGAGAAAACATATAATCAGTACCAATACTGAAATCATACTCGTTACTATTAGTCAAGTTCATCACTTCGAACTCACGTTGAATGGTCTTACCATTACAAGAAACATTCATTACACAAGTACCGATTCTTTTCACGTAAGTGTTACTATCAGCTAAACGTATAAAATATTTATGCACATTATCTTTGTTTACAAATTTTTTATTAACTTGTGTTACATAACTAATAGCTATACTATTCTTCGTACAAAAATTCACATCCACAGAACTAAACGTGGCACCACAGTCCAACAACGAGATGGTTCTAATAGAATTATTGACAAGAATAGGAAAGGTAATATTAGTGCTCATAGTTCTTAAAATCTTTTTTAATAGTCATGTCTTTATAGTTGTACTTACAATCAAGAGCCATCATAGACAAAGCACTAGTATTGTCCTCCAACGAGCGAGAAGAAGAAGAAGGTCCAGCCACAGAACCAGAAGAAGAGCTTGGTGACCCACCAGAACGAGTTGCCATTCGAGATACCCTGGTCTCAAGATATCGTTCCCTTTCGGGACAGGAGTGTCCTTTCTCCCAAGGAGACTTACACGAAAAGCAAATGTTATCTTTCAATGCCGCCTTGAAATTCCAAGTCTTCTTGGAT